TTTTTTCCTATTGGAAGGCTCCGCACTGGCCCGTGCTGCGGCCCCGCGTGTGCGACACTGCTGCGCAAAGCACCTGGGGCAGGAAAGACCCCGCGTCCCCCCAGGGACTGGGGCTCTTTAGGCTGCTGTTGGTATTTCGGCTCCAGATTGCACCACGAAGGCAGGCGCTCCACGTCCCACTGCCAGCAGCGAGGTGGCCCCAGCCCAGGCTCAGCAAAACCCTGGCCCCTTCCTCTGGAAAAACCCGGTGGGTGGGAAACAGCCCCTCGTGCAATGGGGCCGGGGGTGAGTGCTGCTGTGCCACAGGAGGCTGCAGCCAAAACCGTGTCCGGGGCAGATGTGTGGCACTCCCGATGCATTCCTGAGCTCGCCAGGAAACTCGGGCTGCTGTGACTGTGCTACCGAGCCCACACCTGGCCCCAATGCTCACGGAACCCTCCTGTGCTGCAGCACAGAAAGTGTGTGTGGCTGGAGGGGGAAAGTGAGCTGGCTTTAGCTACAGATATAGAGAGATATATATAGTCATTAAGGTTGGAAAGGACCTCTAAGATCATCAAGTCCAACCATCAACCCAATACCACCCATGCCCACTAAACCATGTCCTGCAGTGCTACATCTACACCTTTTCATGAACACTTCCAGGCATGGTGATTCCACCACCTTCCTAGGCAATCTGTTCCAATGTCTGACCACTCTTTTAGTAAAGAGGTTTTTTTCCTAGTAACTAATCTAAACCTCCCCTGCTGCAACCTGAGGCCATTTCCTCTCCTCCCATCGCTAGCTACCTGGGAGAAGAGACCAAAACCAACCTCTCTACAACTTCATTTCACATAGGTGTAGAGAGCAATAAGGGCTCCCCTGAGCCTCCTCTTCCTCTGGCTAAATATACAAATAATATCTCTTAGATATATGTACCATTAGCAATACCTACTTTTTTTTTTTGCATGCTATTCCCACTTCCCTCCTTTTTTTGAACCACAGGGCTGCTTGGGCTTGCTCATGCCAAAGGCTGCTCCATCAGTCAGCACTGGCGTCCAGCCACTGCAGTGGTGCAAAGAGCCAAGTAAGCAGCTTGCACAAGAAAAAAAGCAAAGAAATGCAAAAAGAAAAAAAGGCAAAAAAAAAAAAAGAAAGCACACTTTGCTTGGATTCGACAGAGGTTACAAACTAATCCATCCTTAAACCTTGCTCTACCTGCCAGGTGGAGCTTTGCTGCTAGATGGACCTGGTCCTAACTAACCCTTTTCTTGCAACGCTTATAGTAATGGCCTAACCCATCTCCTACGTTTGGGCTCTAACAGTGCCCACAGTTAGCACAGCTCCTCAAACATGTACGTTTTCCTTTTTCCTTTGGAAAGACACAAACAGTAGGGACACTTAACTATACACCCACTAGGGAGTAAAACTGGTTTTTCAATCCATGAATATAAAGTAGTAGCTAAAAAGTGACAAGTTACAAAACCACAATTTATTGCTGACCCTACGGGCTTGTGACGTCACTTGTGTCGCTGTGATCTCACATTTCAGGTTGGCCGAATTGAAACATGACCTAGCAAAACCACAAAGTTTGCCGTCATATGCTGTTCTATGCTTGTTTTCAGGTATAGAAACATACACAACTACAGCACTCGAAACAAAACCACCAAAAAAAGAATGAGTAAGGATTCTTTGTCTGCAACCTGAAAAATATTTGGCTACAGGGAGTAAAAATCATATAAATTTATCTGCACTTGTTAACCAAAATAAAACACGACAAATATCTTACTAGCTGCGATGTGAGCTGGTATAACAACAGTAAGAAATTCAGGCAAAAGTGGTGTCATGTAAATTAGCAGCATCATCCGATCTCCTGGAAAACAAAATAATTGCAGGACTGAGGTATAGAAAAAAGGAAAAAAAAATAAATCCACAACGGACCTACTATGGTGAAACGAGTTATGTACATGGTAACCCAACGGTGTCCCACGGACCCGTACAGTCTGCGTACGTGCTCCAAACGCTGGGCTTAAATTCACAGTGACTTTCATTCAGGATTTCTCCGTGGCAAAGCAATCTTCGTGGCGACCTCATCAATAACCTCCCTGTGGCCACAAAGCCGTCGCCTTCCAGTTGTACCACCGTGCTGGGCAAGAGCACGCACGGCTGCCGGAGCGGCATCACGAACCGACTGCATGGAAATCCCGACCTACACGGTGCCCCTGGAGCCGTCCATGCCCGGCGGGGACCATCCCTCTGGCCGCCGCTGTCCCTGCCGGACCCGACCCCACCCGT